GTCCTAGCTACTGTCCTAGACCACAATGAAGTCTGAGATCCATGTGAACTTATGGAGTCTGTGCCACTGCCTGATGCCTTCATGATATCCTGGAGCTTTGCTGCCTCCAGTGGCCATGTTGATGTAAGTAGCATATATAGCCACGTGAGCCCATAACTAGCTGCTGAGGGCCATGAGTGGATAGAGGGTCCAGATACAAACAAAGGCTATGTTGATGCATGTAGCCCATGTTACCACCGAAGGCCATGCTGGTGTCTGTGGTCTAGGATGCTGCTTGAAGCCACGTTGATGTCAGAGGGCTATGCTGAGCTGGCCTCAACCATCACTGGTGGGGGCCTGGCAGAGGCCCAACTGATCAACTCAGCTCCAATGCAGGCGCAGACCCAGCACTTTGAGTTGGCCCACCCCAATATCTACCCCATCTATGAGCTGCCGGAGTGCATGAAGGGCCAGTCCTGAGGGATTCTAGTTGTAGGATCTGTGGCTAACAGCAAGATATCCAAGAGGAGACGCAGCAAGGGTCCAGTATTAACGTGTAGCAGAGGCTAGAGACCTGAAAGCAGACTAACAACTCATTGCAATGAACATTTTCAAGTAATGCTGTTTGGCAAAAGGAATACTGCAGGGCACATGGCAGCTCCCAATGCCATTATGAGGAATGGATTTGTGATGGAGAAACAGGAAAGACAGAGAAGTAAGTGCATGGCAGAACTGGAGAAGCAACAGATGTGAGAGGCTACAGTTTATACAGGGATCAGTGAGACTTTTTTAATTCTTAATTTTCTTTTTTAAATTTTTAATGTTTTATTGGATATTTTATTTATTTACAATACAGATGTCCTCCCCTTTCCCCATTTCCCTTCCCTAAAACCCCCTATCTTATCCCCCTCCTCCTTTTTGCTTTTATACCATTTTAATACATGCATGCATTAAGGACAGGGAAGTAGGCTCAGATACTTTCGTCATCCTGATAAGCCCTTAGAAACAGTGATCATGGGAGTGTTCGTGGAATTTTGTTTATTGCCTTGCTTGTTCTTTGACTATTTGTGTTTATTGTATTGCTTGTTCCTTGACTATTTGCATCTATCGTATTGCTAGACCCTCAACCTAGAACTGACATTAATTTTTAATTTTCTTTTGGTGCAAGGGCTAAAAGGCTACCCTGGAGCACAGGAGATAGTTGTCAGTAAGATGCTGTCATGTAAGACCTAAATTCAGATCCTCAAAGCCTGTGTGGAGAAAAAGCTGGTGCTCCTTGCCTGGGCAGCACAATGAATCTAGTCCTGATGGTAAAGGCACAGATGAGCCAGTCCTGAGTTAGTGAGAGCAGGGCAAGCTGGCCCAGCCCCTCAGAAGCTTCAGCACTTAGGAGAGAACATCCTGAGCTTTGATTGGGCAACACAGTGGAGCTGGCTCTGGAGGTGTGGGTACAGGTGAACCTGAAGGCAGGAGAGCAAGAGAGCTGACCCTGTCTCCTGCCACTGGCAGCTTTGGATGACCTAGCTGAAGCAGTGCCAGAGAGCTCATCCTGATGGTGCAGATAAGGGAGAGCCAGTGGGCTGACCAGCTCAGAAGAAAGCCAGTGGGTTGACCAGCTCAGCTCTCACCCAGGCTCAGAACCAGGGCTCTGAGTTGTCCACCCCAAAATCTATATCTTCAAATGATTAGGACTTATGGGTCAGTCCTACTGATCCAAAGCTGCAGGCTCTCTATGACACAAGGCAACAACACAATATTGGGATGAGATCCAATAAGGATCCAATATTGATGGTATCACAGAAGCCAGAGATCTTAACCAGACCAATGGCTCATTGCAATGAATATCAGCAAGTGAAGATGTGTGAACAGAGGAATATACTGTGGGATATATGGTGACATGCTACAGATTCCACAATGACATGTTTTCTATGCTTTTCATTTTTTAGTTTGTGAATGTGTGTGCTTTTTTATTGGGGGGAGATTGCAAGGGTGAAGGGCAGATATGAAGGGATAGGGAGATGAGGGGGGTGAGTGATTCAAAACTCACAAAGAATCATTAAAAAAGTTTTAAAAAGGTGGAGAGCAAATGAGCAACATGCTAGTTAATGATCTCTGGTTGCCACATAATGTACACATTCATGGATTTGACACCCACATACATGTGCCCATATGAACCCCATAATTTTCTTTTAATAAAAACTTGGCTTAATTCTTCTTGATTGGCCTAAACTGAAACTTCAAAAGATGTACACAGACTAAATGACTTCAGAAAACTATGAGTGGGACTCTGAAGACTGTAGGGCACACAGACATACATACTCCTAAAATAATCAACCAACTTTAAATAGAGGAAAAGAAAAACCTCTCCCAAATTATTTGATATTTATAGAATGAACAACTTGTGTATATACAGTAAGTTTTTTCATTATACAGTGGATTTCACTTCAGTTGCTTGTTTCTTGATACCTTTTTGCCCCATAAGGTTTCTTTCTATACTTAACAAGTACAATATTCTTCCCCAGTGCCAAAACTTTTGGATTTTGTTGTTGTTGTTGTTCTTTAGAGACAGGCCTTTGTAATCGTCCTTGATAGTCTGGAGCTCACTATGTAAACAAGTCTGGCCTCAAACTTGCAGTGATCCTCCTGTTCCTGCCTCCCAAGTGCCACCATGCCCACCCATCCCACTGTCTTGCCTACAGATCTTTTTTCCCCCTCATTTGGACTACGGTCATTTCTTTTCTGGTGAAGCATATGGTCTTTGCATTTGGGCTTACTTTCAATATGATTCTTGCTCACTTTTAGTAGGTGAGGTAGAAATTTTTTGCGTCATGTGATGCAGACTCATGTGGTGTATTGCTGAGGCAAGACCTGTGGGAGGACACATGATGTTTGGAGGGAGTATAAACAAGACTTAACAGACAGTGATGGGGCACTTGCATAGCAAGCCTTGCAGTGCTTCAGTGGTTTCACATCTTCGCTAATCTTCACTTTGTTGAGAGAGGCACAGCAGAGAACTTCTGGTGCCCTGGCTGGTTCTAGCCTCTCCTACTGACTTGTGCTAATTTGACAGAGGCATGGCTGTTTCTGCTGGATCTTGCCATCTATTCTTGTTTGGTATCCTGACACTACTCAACTGGACTGTTGGTATCCTAATAATGGAGATTGGAATTGCCCCCAAAGAACTACTTCTAAACAGGCCCATATCTCCTTGTCCTATTTACCATCGTTTCTCCCCTACCTTTGGATGGTGGGCTAGAATGGGGTGCCAAAGCATTTAAAAATCCTTATTAAAAGTAGGTTTTTAAAAAATCTAACCCTACAAGTAGATTCTTCATCAGGACTCTGCAGTAAGTCTTCTTGTGTGGTGTGTAGAGAGATCTTTGATTATTTTGAAACTTGGTTCAATTCTACATTGAACACTGTGAGCATAGGAAGGTTTAGTCACCATGAAGGAAATTAATCTGTATCAAGCATTACATAATTCACTTAGCTCATGGCAAGTAGTTTCATATCTAGTGCAGAGCTGTCCCAATGCCCACTAGAAGCAAGTTCAAACTATTGTTTGTTTACATGAAGCAGAGAAATTCCAGGAATGTTTCTAAGGCCTAATGATCCATTAGCTTCATTGTAGGTCATACATGGTCCCCTGAGCTGGAAAGAAAGAAGATTCCTCATTCTGGCTCTGCCAGATCTCATTCATGGGAAGCAATGGGCCTTTTTGATACCATTAAAAACCTTAAGTTTCTTTCCTTTTTATTTTTATTAATTTAATTTTATTTATTTTATTATTTTTGTTTTTTGCTAAACTATTGGATGTGTACCTGCTCATGTGTGTGTACGTGTATGATGTACACATGCCCATATTTGTATCTGTAGAGGCCAAAAGTTGACATCAAGGAGTATCTTCTTTAATTTCTCTCTACTGTATGTATGTATGTATGTATGTATGTATGTATGTATGTATGTATGTATGTGCATATGTATTTTGTCCATCCATATGCATCTATGTATGTATTTGAGATATGTTGCTTTCATTGCACCTAAAGCTTGATGTTTTGGCTAGATTGGCTGGCCAGTGATCTCTGGAGATCTGCCTGTCTCCATCCCCATGCACTGGGGTTGTGAATGCATATAGCCACTTCTGGCTTTTTATGTGGGGGCTGGCAACCCCAGTTAAAGTCATCTTGCTTGGAGAGCAAGTGCTCAGTTTTGTTAAAAGCAAAGTAGCCTTGTTTGCTTTTGTTGTTGTTTGCTTCTTAAGTGCTTATCTTTATCATCTACCACCAAAGGAGCCTCAGGAACTGTCTCCGAATAATGGCCTTTAGATATAACCATAGACAATAGGCCAGAGCTGGTAGGCAGAGAAGATGACATGTCATTTGGGTTAACAGGTGCCAACACTGCTAGATTTTGGTCAGTGAACACATGCAGCATCCCTCTATACATATTTCAAGAAGGAAGCTGCCCGATCAGTGAGTTCTGCTACCTTGAACTTGAAATCTGAACCACAGCTCTGCCAGGAGACTGTGATTAGCACTAGTCTATGAACCTACTAATTCAACATCAGCAGAATGCTGTCTATTGTTTTGTGCAAAGGTGGTATGCATATATTCATAATATTTGGTTAAACAGAAGCTTTGCACACAGCAGGGAAAGTGACATTTTGTGAAAGGACTTCCCAATTTTAGAAAAAAAAATTATACTACTGGATGAATCTATCCTATAATGAGAAGAGAAAGCCACAGCTATGGAAACTTGCTATATTTTCATGTGCTCCTAAACTACAATAGATCAGTTGATAGCACAAATTAGGAGATGAGTTTCAAGTCCTCCTAAATGTCTACCTACAGAAATGTTCCAAATCAATGCCCCCCCCCCATTTACTGTCCCTTCTCACCGTGGATGAAAATTGTTAGCGATAGTCATTGGAAAAAGTCTCTTCAGAGACGTGAGAAACAACCACTAACAAACAAAGATTTCTTTGTCGGATTTCATAGTGGAAAAGCAAAGAAATGTCTCACCTTGATATATAGTGGTTCTCTAAGATGGTCAATGAGCACGCAAGCCTTTTCCTCCCAAACAGGATTGAGGTTCTTGTGGATAATTTTACTTCTAAAAACTTCTTTTCTTCCAATTTTAAACTTCACATATGGATCGCTTGTCCCTGTTGAAGAAATATGATCCACATGAGCCATGCCTCTTTATGGGAGCAAAATAGCTGCTCACTGCAACACCAAAGGAATGAAAGGAAAAATGTTAATGAAGATCTATCACACAGGAAAGGGAGGGCACTGAAGTAAGACCAAATCATCACCATGTTACTACTTTACTTTCTGAGCACAACCCTGCAAACTTGCCCTGGCTTCTTAGGACCCAGTTCATGGTGGCAGAACTGATTTTCATGACAGCAGGAGCTGAGGGCTCTCCTTCTCCTGCTTCCTCACCAGTGAGTACTGTTGCTTGATTTCTTAATGATAGCCATTGTCACCTCAGCAAGACAGGAGACCTCACCATAGCTTACTTTCCACTCCCCTGACTACAGCAGCAAAGAACGCTGAGCTCCTTTTCCCATACCTTATGTCCAGTTGCAGTTGAACTGTTTAGCATTTTCTATCCTTTTCATTAAAACTCACTTTACCGATTAGGTTGATATATATATATATATCCCATTACATATGTAGGTAGCAAAGATTTCCCTCCCATTTTACAGGCTGTCAATTCATTCATTTACTTGTTCCTCTGATGTGAGCAATTTTAACATCATGTAATCCCAGCTGTCAATTCTTGGTTTATTTTCTGAGCATGGAATTTCCACAAAAACAAACAAATGAATAAATAGAAATAGAAGGTAGAGATAACCTTTAATATAGAACTATATAGAATACTTACTGAGCATGTTTAAGACCTTAGACTCAGTATCCACTATTAAAAATAATAAATAAACAAAATCCTAAAAATAGAAGTACCAAAGGACACAGGTACCTGATTCCTTGGCATATATCCAAAAGACTCTCAGGAACCATAGAGACAGAGACTGTACATCCATGCTTACTGTAGCAATATTCACAGTAGCCACCGTATGAAAGTGACCATAAAAGGATTCATAAAGATAATAAGGTATATATCCATAATGAAGCATTATTTAACTTTAAAAGAATAAACTAATGTTCTTTGCAAGAAATGGGTGCAAATGAAGATCATCACATTAAAGGAAGTAAGCCAGAATTAGAACAGGAACAATCATGTGTGGAGCCCATATTGTACTGATGCATCAAATTACTTGTTTGAAGATGGCATTAAAGAAGAAATGAGACTGTCTATGGAAAGAAAGTGGATTAGTGGGAGGGGCAGGGTGGAGAAGGAAGAGGTGTAAAGGGTATGATCAGAGTACATGATACACTGGATTGAGATTGTCTTTATGAAGTCTATTACAATGTGCAATAAGTATAAATGCCAATATGAACAAAAAATAAAAATGATTGAAATAAGTTTGAGTCCATCTATAAATCAGAGCTTAACTGACATTTCTCTTGGTCTCATCTAATCTGGTATAAAAAGAAGTATCAATGATATTGACCAATTTAACTAGTTTTATATACTCATATACTGTCAACATTTTACACTCATATAAAACCTTAGGGGAAAATGAGTTTCAATGTTGGCTTCCGAGCATGCTTAGCTCCATATTTTCTCACCCTCACAACTTACAATTTTGAATAACAGGAAGTCATGGCAGTCTTGGGGACCGCAGGGAAAAAGTATGAGGGAATGATCTGGTTTGGTTGCAAATTATCCAGCTAGCTAGTATAATCACTGAGAGACGAATGAATCAGGAGGCCTCTAACTCTATAAACAATCAGTGTGTGTGTGTGTGTGTGTGTGTGTGTGTGTGTGTGTGATGTTAAAGAAAATCAGAAATGGCAAGTCAATTGCTTATAATATACAACTAGCGGTTTGATTCTAATTGCCTGTGTTTTTTCTACTGTGCCCACAGGAGAGATAGGACTTTACATACTTACATATATACAGTGATATTTCTTAGTGGGACGTGAGGCTGACACCATGATCAATCTTGACTGAACTGTTCATGCAGTTATTAAAGATTTATAGCGATTCATTGATATCCTCAAGTAGAATTTCCAGTGTATAACAATCTCCATAATTAGGAAATAGTTCTTTACATCTCCCTTAAGTTAAAGTTTGACTTAATCTTTACTGGTTGGACCAAATTGAAGCTCCTCCAGTTGGTGTCTGTAGACTGTATGCCTTAAAGAACATTAAGGTGTAAAACCATCATCTAAGTGCTACCTATTATGACTACAATGCTGGCCTTTTAAATCTCCTTCTCAATGTTCATATCCCCTATCAATGCTTTACTCGTTGAAGAAACACAAAATGCTTATGCTACACATTAAGAACTGCCTTTTGACTTGTACTTCCTTATTTAATCCCTTGGGGTTCTCTCTGAGCTTGTATAGCCCCAAATATCTATGATTCTAACACTTGGGAGGTAGAAACATGAAGATTAGGAGTTTAAGGCATTCTGCATCTACAACCAGTTCAAGGGAACCTGGATTACATTAGAGCCTTTCAAAAATTCTGTATTTGACCTCCAGATATAATCATTGATTTATAATGTAAATATTGGTCTAAAATATGGTATGATATTAAACCATGTTCTTTAGGGGCATCAATGCAACAAAATGTTAAAAGTTAAAATGGCTATTACTAATTATCTACTGAGGACCCAGGGAGGTATAGGCATTTTAGCACATATATGAAGTACTATTAAAATCTATGACTCATTTTCTTTGTATTGCCCCAGAGCTTAAGGAAAAAGATTAAAATTGAAAAACCATGCAGTATGTGCATGACAGAGATATAGATATTTGTGTGAGAGAGGATTGTATGTAGATATTTAATCTGTTTGACTGAGGATACCATGGTAAAGATATTACATTAGAAACATTTACTATAATGAAAGAGGCAAGAGATTAATGTCTTAAATGCATAAGAATGTTTTTAAATTAATAAATAAAAATGACTCCTACAGGAAATTAACTAAGTTGTTTTAAGAAGGTAATTTGCAAAGAGAAAAGCCCCCTTATAGTCAAACCTTAATAAATAGTCAAATGAATAAAACAGTCAACAAAACAAGTAGGATCTGGAGAGGCGTCTCAGTTGTTAAAAGTACTAGTTGGACTTGCAGAAAATCCCAGTATCCACATTGTAGCTCACAACCATCTGCAGTTCTAGTTCCAGGGGTTCCAGTGTCGTCTTCTGGCTTTTGTAGATGTCAAGCACACATACAATACATGTATAGAAGCAACCTGCAGTTGTTAGCTTTTGTTATTTCACTAACTGCCAGTGCGAGAGGATGGGGTCGAAGAAACCTTTGTCCACTGTTGGTAGGCGTTTGCATAGCCATTATGGAAAACAGTATAGAAAGGGCTCAAAAACTAAATATAGGCTCAGGTGATAGCTCAGTCAGTAACTAACTTGCTTATTTTGCAATCATTTCTCAGAGTTCAGCCCTTGAGAAGCTTCATTTTAAAAGACATGTGTAATAGCTTATAATCCCAACAAGTCCCTGGGACTCACTGGCCAGCCAATTTAACCTTGTTGGTCCAGAACCAGTGAGAGACCCTGCCTCAAAAAAGATGGAGACAGAACTTGAGGAACAATAACTGAAGTTGTCCTTTAGCCTAAACACACACACACACACACACACACACACACACACACACACACACAGGAACTATCAAATGATCCAGCAATCACTCTATGATATCTACACAGGAGATGAGACCCACATGTTGAAGAGACATCTGCATTCCCATGGTCTCTGCAGCTCCCCTCCCAATAATAGCCAAGATGGAAAAAAAAAAACAGTCCTCAACTGATGACTACATAATGTAAATGTAGTAGATCTACACAGCACATTACCAGTTCAGTAGTGAAGCCCTATCATTTGTGACAGCACAGATATGGTAAGTGAAATAAGGCAGGCAGGCCCTAAAAGACAAACACCACATGCTCTACTGTGTGAACTCTAACAAAGCTCATCATACGAAGTTGAGACTTAGAAGTTAAGGTTGCCAGAGATTAGGAATAGCAGTAGGGTGAGACATGAGAAAAGACTGATCAGTGGGCACTGCGGTAGAATTACACATGAGCAACAAGTTCTGGCCAGCTACTTCATGGTAGGGAGAATGGAGACATCACAGTACCATAGTACTACCTCAAGCTAGAAGAAAGGGTTTTGAGATTTTTACCATAAGGAAATGATGAATGCTGGGCTAGTGAGATGGTCAGAAGTTATAAGCACTTACTGCCCTAACTGAGGACCTGGCTTTGATTCTCAGTGTCCACATGGTGGATACCAACTCCGGTTTCTGGCAATTCAATGCCTCTCTGACCTCCTCAAGCACAAGCACACATGTGGTATAAATACATGCATGCAGGCAAAACACTCATATGCATGAAATTGTTAAAAATCTGAAAATATTTTTAAAAGAAATAATAAATATTTATAATAAATATGCATATCATCATCATTACACAATGTATTTATATAGTAAACATTTACATGTGTCCTATTAATATGTACATCTTGTTTTTATATATCAGTTAAAATAAAAGTTTATTGCATAGAGTCCCTATCTTCCATTCTCTGTGGAAAATAGAAACTCAACTTAAGTGAATGTCAATCAGCAAAGGCAGATGGTCTAACCTCTTGGGCCAATCTTCCCAAAAGTTCTATGGTTTATTTTCACCAACTCATTGGGGCATTAAAATTCTCCTGTCTTTGTGTCAGTGGAAATGAACTCAGTTTATCTGCCCTATTGTAAAAGTATAAGTCCTTATTGTAATAGTCTTGAATGAAATGTTCCTCACTGTTTTTAAGAAATCTTTATGTATGTTTTCCCTGCACCAAGCAGCAGTGTGGTATAATTTATGCATATTGCTCCAGATGGTCAAAGATGTGGGATCTGTCTGTCTGTCTGTCTTCATATGCAATATCTTTGCAATCCCTTTTGTATAGTCATATTTTGCTCTTGACTTGCATATGAGGTTAAATAGACCAAGCCCTGATTTTAGTGAATAGGGATATGAAGACTAGGCCTCTTCTTGTGCCTCCACCATCATTGTCACGAGAACAGC